TTTACTTTGCAAAAATATCTGAGTCTCAAATATCTCTCAAAACATCTGAGTTTTCATTTAAAATTACCTAACAAATCAAATGATAAAAAACGTTCCAAACATTGCACTTCTATGTTGGATTTTTCTCAAGATATAACTAATCAGCTGAATTAAAAAAACATATCTCAAAATTCTTACTGAATTAAATTGAGTTTTTTTTTCAAATTAGTCTTTTCTCAGTTTTTGCTTCATCTTCTATATTCCATCTTAATCCAATTTGAACAAAATTTTAGTTGAAAATTGATTTTTACAAAGTAAAAAGTATCCTTTCAACGAATATTCAATAATACGAAGCAGAATTAATACCATAAATCCTCTGCTAAAAAACTTCAAAAAATTTTCTCAACCTGATAACTGTATGTTGCTGTTTCAACTCTGAATTTCTGTTTTGAAGTAAATATTATGATTCAGAATGTTGTATATAATTAGGTTGAAGTTTTCAAAAGTTAGCAAAACACATATTTTTTTGTCTTCCCTAAGTCAATTATCAATTTTTTTTCTAAAATCGTCCACGAAAAAGAGAAAACCATAATTCTTCTACTCTATAAACATTTTTACATGCACTAAACAATGTAAAATTTAAAATAGTATCAAGGCAAAACCTTTGAATTAGTCGATGTTTATAAATATTCAATTTTTCACAAAAATTCAACAAATACATAAGCACTCATTAGCGTATTTTATTCACTTTTACTACAAATTTATCGCAAAAAAAATCTCCGCAAGCTTGCAACCAATGGAGTTTTTACTGTAGGTTAAAGCTTTTCGGATCGATTTCCATTGAAAGTTTCTCAACAATTTAAACTCGATTGTTGCTGGTTTATCATCAATCAGAATCTTTGATTAAAAAAATAAATGACAGATCATGAATAATGATGAAACAACTGTATAGTTCTTATAAAGATTTTTCAAGTTTTTTACATTTGTATAGACTTTTCAGATTGAGAAAAAATTCATATTTAAAGTTTTTCTCCTATCTTTTTTATTAATATTATTTTAGTTTTACTTTCTCTTGGAGTGTATTGAGACTGCTGAGCGTCTTTTCCATATTTAACATTTTGTTGAGAAGAATAATGCTTCTTCTTGATATAATAAGTGAGTTCCTCTCTGCTATATATATAAAAAAGACAATTGGAAACGCCACAGTGCTTACGATGTCTCGACGCATCTGTACGTGTGTATTCTCTGCCACATTCAGGACATGCAAACCTTTCGTTTCTATTTAGTGATGGCCTCTCAAGTAAAGAAAGAACTTGAGAAAAAATGCGAGATTTAGAATGTTCCAATTTTTCAGAAAAGAAGAGTTGAACAGCCTCAAAAGTGATTAAAATCAAATACAAACAGTTATGTGAATTTGTGAACCAAATGTTTTGAATGGGAAAGAAAATCAGATTGAAATGAATTTTATTTACTATTGTTTCGAGAAAATCAGCCAATCAGAAATGAGAATTTTTTGGTTACACTGTTTGTAGGAAATCAACCAATCAGAATCCAGCATTTTGTAAAATTGAACTGTTTATCTTTTAAAAAAAATTTAAATCGTTATTTGAAAAGTGTATTAAAAAACATTTGAGTTTTTTCGAGTTTCTTTACAACAAAAAAGAAAAAATTCCAATTGCTTTTCTTATTGATGAAATAAATGTTGACTCTTACTTTTCTCAAAATTTTTTTTGAACGTTTTCATTGTACAAAATAGAGTTATCCGACAAAGTAAAGGTCTTTTTAGCGAACCTTACTCACTCAGAGAGTTTTTTTGAACCAAGTATTGAGTATCGAACAAGGAAAGCATTTTTTTTATTCTTGAAAACTTGAAAGTAATCAACAAATTGTACGATAATATATCAAAGACTCTTTTATTCCAGTACCAGATGGCCAAATTTGTAAAAACTTCTCAGCAAAGTTCTCTATTTCTTCATTTCTTCTAGGACTTTCAAAATTCAAAATCCTGAATGATCAGGTTTGGAGTCAGAGTTCCAGAGATTTGCTTTGAAATTTTCATCATCTTCGAGTTATCCTCTCAAATTTACATCAAAGTCAACAAACTTGGTTATCTACTCAAAAATCAGCTTTTTGTCATTGATTGCATACAAAAAAATTCAATTAACTTGATGAAAAAAAATGTGGAAATGCTACTTGTATAAATTTTTTTCTTTTTGTTATTTATATCACTATTGTTTCTCATTTCTACAGCAAAAAATTTTGTTCATTTATTTGTGCGATTGTGTATATTTCTACTTACTTGGACGAGTTAAGTCCTTAAACTAATTCTCTGATTGGATACGACAACTAGAACACAATTGAACATTTTTGTGATTGGAAACGACAATGTCAACAAATTCCTAAAATGGAACTTTGTTTCCAATTGGTTACGATTTTATTTAATAATTCCATAAAAGAAAGCTGAAATCTGATGGGACACGACTGCAGTCCAATTAAGGAAAATCAATTCTGATTGGTTAAACCCAAACATTCGAGTTGAAGGCCCCCTCACTTTTAACTAAAAACTATTTAATTTTCAACTTTACTACCGTCAACTATATCCTGTCTCAGCTGTGAATACTTAAATTTCATTTTATCCACCGTCAACTACGTCCTCTCCCAAAACTAAATTCTTCTTATTTTGACTCTGTATCTTTTGCTCAACTTATTGCTCAAAATGATCTTCTCAGTACAGAACAGCAATCTTATGTAATCGGCAGAATTTTCGCCTGATCTAGTACAAATTTAAGTGCGAGAAACAGTCTCTGGAATTTTCTGGTAAGAATGGACATCGCAATCCAAGTCTGGCACATGGTGGAAGTGATGCGAAGGGATTTCAACGAGCATCATATGACGCAAGTACCCATGACAGAGACCCAGCTTGGAGAAATTCAAATGATAGAGGAAGTGGCTGTGCACGTGGGAATGAACTACCCCGACACTTCTGGCCCTAGAGATGTGGCTCAACCAGTCGACGATTTCCTCTTTTTGGGAGGAAGCAAGATCAGCCGAAAACCCCGTCACAGTAGATGAGGATGAGAGCTTTTCAGAATTAATGACACCTCCAGCTCCACAACAACCACTACAACCTCGTCCAGCTCTGCGTTCTAGAACACTCGACAGCTCCTTGAATAAGAATTTTTGTAAAAAAAATGATGTTTGATATTTATTTATTTCTTAGTAAAATTTTTTTTTCAATTTCATTCAAGTTATGAAAACAGATAAGAAGTTCAGGGTAAACCATTGAAAACTAGTTAGAAATTAAATTAATGCTCCAAATTTGCGAACTTGATAAGAAACTTGATTAGTTTTTGCACATATATTAGAGAAAAAAACGATATAAAATTTGTATACAGGTAAAAAATACCTGATTGTTTTTTTCACTTCTTTGACATCTGGTCAAAAAAATCCCACTTATTGCATTTGTTGGAAAAAAAAGAAGCACTTTTCGCATTTTGTCCAAAAAAAGGAAACATTTTTCGCATCTTAAATTAAATTGAAAACTTATAAAAATAAATTGAAACACTTTTTGCATTTTGTCGAAAAAAGTAAAACATTTTCGCATTTGTATAAAAAATTTGAAAAACTTCTCGCATACGGTTGAAAAAACTGAAACACTTTTCACATTTTGCTGAAAAAATGAAACATTTTTCGTATTGTGGTGAAAAATGAAACAAATTTTGCGTTTTTTT